AGAAATTATCAGTTCTTTAGATGCAGTTTTTGAAAATAAACAAAATAAAATAAATCTGAAACATTTTATCCACTCGAAGTGAATAAAGCGAGCATCCATAATTTTGCTGTTTGTGAAAATTATACACGCCTAAACCAGAGGACAAAATAAGATACCTTGCAGATATGTTAAGTGACTCCACGAATATTATAGACTTCATTTTTCAACAAACAGTATCTCCACCCCACTTCTGTAAATATCAGGGTCCAGTTTAGCATTTTAAGTACATTGTAAATCGAACCTCCACTTTACAGCCAATTCTATCGCTTCCATTTTAAAAATTTAAATTTTCTCAGAACTAAATAATAACCAGAAAAAACCCAGGTCAGATTCAGTTAAATCAAAGTTACATAAAAAATTCTCTAGCCTCCATTTTGCGCACCCTTTGTGACATACCTTAATTATCAGGTCATCCCATAAGTTCTGTCCGAATTTTAATTTTTTGTTAAAATGAACGAAATTTAAAGAGTATTTTATAATGTCTAATCGAGCTGAACATTATTTTTATGTTTAGATGCATTCAAACTGATCAAATTTTATTTCAGAGAACAATAAAATTAATTTTGTTTGCTAACATGGAAGTACCCAAGAATCATTTGAGGTACATAATGCTTTATGAGTTCAAGAAAGGAAACTCAGCAGCCGAAGCGGCTAGAAACATTCACTCGGTTTATGGAGAGGAATGTGTGAATGAAAGAACTTGCAGAAGATGGTTTGCAAAATTCAGAGGTGGCTTACAGAATCATTTGGAAGAAACAGCTTTTGTAACACAGGAAGAGGTTAAAACTGACATTTGTGAGTTCTTCGAATCAAAGCCAAAAGAATTTTACAGTAATGGAATTAGTAAGCTTGTTAATAGATGGAAGGAAGTCATAGATAATCAGGGAAAATACATTGTTGATTGAATCTGTAATTAAATGTAACATTTGGCCACTTGTTTTCTTTATTCAAAATTCGGACAGAACTTATGGGATGACCTGATATATTAAATAAAACGGCAGGGTTGTTAAAAGGTCAGTCTGACCAAGAAATTCTTAAGAATAAGAAAAAAAATCTGATGTTTCGCGATTTGGTTATATTTCTGGAAATGAGTCGAGCCGAAAAATTTCTCACCCAACATTCCGTGGCTCAACTCAAAATCGTCTTTTTCTTTGCCAAAATTAAAGATTATAGTAATTGTTATCCCGTTCACTTCTTGACTTGTAACTTTAGTTGGCTCGATTGTTTATAAATTAAAACGAGATGCAGGCCATTACAAAAATCAGGACTGATAGGAAAGCCAATTAAAAACAGGCGTTTCCCTCGAACCTTTTATTTCAGTTCTCTGGTGTACATGCTCAGTCGTTAGTCACGAAATGACAGTCATTAAATTATTATGAAACTTTAGGGTATACGTCCAGAGTAGGATAAGCTAAATATATTACTTATTACGACAGGACCTAGAATTGCCCGTTGTTTTAGGATTAAAACTGAGCATTCTTGAAGTGATTTTTAAAACTTTTTTATAGCCTTTCATTTATGTAATAAAATGATTGATTTAGTCAAGTGAAAATGTATTTCTTCGTAAGGTAAATCAATTTTCAGTAAAATAAATTAAAGAGAAGATAAATCTCTGGTATTTAGTTATTTTAACTCATTTTCTTAACACAACCAGATTAACAGTTTTAAAATTAGCATTTAATTCGATCATTGGATCATTATCTCGGTAGCAAAATCTTTTAAAGGGAAGAGATAAATTTAACATTATCAGAGTTCTTTTCGTCCAGAATTTAAAATAAGTATAAATGAATAAATTAGTTTCATGATAGGATTTTCTCATTACTAATAATGATTATATTCATATATTGTGGCCTAACTACACTTGGCTTCGCCAAACGCCCATTATGCGGCGCTGTTTAAGTCTATAAAAAGACAACTATTTCCTTCCTCAGTCATTTTTTCTCTTACTCCAAGACGTAGTAGCACGTAGGTAAGGCATCCTCACTGGGTCGCGTTCGTTTCTCCGGTCGACTGACGATTGAACTCTCTCATATACACACTTTTTATCAAACACACATACACACACAAACAAGCACATTCTTAATAGCTACGTTTTAATGTCTTTTCCTTTCAACTGTGTAAACATTGGTGAAATTTATTTTTGTTAATACATGCATTTAATTGACCTTTGTTTAAATTCCATGTTTTGTGTTTCAATTTTTTTTTTTACCCGGAATCACATTAGTCCGCCAAATATAGTTTGCGGGACAAATGTTCCAGGAGCCATTGAATATTTAATGAAAAACGTCCGCACCTCGCAACTAAAGAGATGACTCCCACAAAAATATCAAACTTTTATTACATCTGAACAAATACTTCAGTCTCCAGTCTCCAAACTGCGACATTACTTTCCGAACATGCTAATACTTAGAAATCAATCTCGTGTTGTGTCATTGGTTGCCATAAAAGACCTAAAATCAACAAGTATGATCCAGTTTTCACTGCTTTTATATGAACAGGGAATTCAGGTTTTTTTCTCAATTTATTGTTGGGCAGCGACACAGTCCACTTCTCTACCTAGGATGAATCGCTTGTTTAATATTTATTTACTTTCTGTTGCTTCTTTGCGTATCAAAGACCAGTGGCTGAAACTGAACCCGTTTAACTGGAGTTGAAAATAATTTTATTTTCAAATAGCATGCGATGTAATGGTTAGTCGCTCAGAACGTGAAGTCGGTAAGCCGAGTTCGAATTGCGATTAAGATCGTTATATCCATTTTTGCATAAATAATTTTGGCAAAGGTATGAAACCATTTTTCTACCTCTAGCTATGGTTTAAATAATAAAGCAGACTGGACTCTATAGCCATGGATAGCCAATATGAGAAAGACAACTCTGAATTCAAAACCGTATGCTACCGTGATGGGGGAACTTAGTTGAATTGTAACTAAGGTATGCCCAGAATATTTACAGTATAAACTGTATTTAAAAAAAAAAAAAAATTAGCTCTCTGGGTGCTGAAGAAACACATATGGACATGTTTGGAAACGAACAGACACGCTGAAAATCATTGTGCCTTCAAGATGAAACAGCTCTAATGATGAGAGGCAAATTGAAATCATATCAACTAGATCTTAATTTTTTTTTTTAAGTATTTTACTGTTTAATAAACGATCATAGAATGACGATCAGAGAGTTGCGATAAAAGGCAACTGAAATTACGATGAAGGAAACGCAATTGATTCGTTTTCTACAGCGTATCAAACCTTTGCGGGTTATTTAAAGCCAGAAAATATTTTTTAGATTGTAAAAATGTTTTTCTTTTTGAGATAATAATCGTTTAGTGATACAAGTCTTACTAATTAACCCATAGTTGGTGGGGAAGAAGATGTGGATTCATATCTTTCCCAAGGATATTTGTGTGTAAGTGAATACAATGAACATAACCGAAAATGAACCCAGTTCTTCGATTAACAATTATTATCCATTAAAAACACCCACACATCCAAGCTTACAGCACCTGGTATTTTTCTGTTATTAAATTATATTTATTTATCCTTTTCAGAAAGTTCGAAATTTTTTTTAGTAGGGGGCGTCAGATCGAGGAGGAAAGATTAACATAGGAAATTTTAACGTCAATTTTTGCGTTGAAAAACACTGATTTTTAAATCCTTACAAAAATCAAATGCAATGATAACAGCAAAATTGCAATATGAGCACTGGTAAAAATGGTTGTTGAAGACATTAGGTTTATAATACCCAGAAATTCATACCCAGATGGCACATTGGATAAAGGCGTTGGTTAGATCCAGTGACAGGACCTAAAGAGTGTGAGTTCAATACCCGGTTAAGGCAGTGGAGAATCTTTCAGAGGGAAATTAACAGGAGATAAATGATAACTGACATCCATCAAACATGGCACGTGGAACTAGAACAGTTCGACATTCCAACCACCTGAAGAAGGACGGAGCGTACAACGGCCGAAACTTTGTTATAAATATGGCGACAAAGATGAGGACAATAGTCCGAATAATGTAAATAAAAATCAAATAATTGTCAGATTTTAATGAAACTTTCAGAACTTATTCACAAATGAATAAAATTATTTTTAAATTTTTTTTTTGTTTTTTTTTTTTTTAGATAATCTTGACAAAATATTTTTTACACCTCATTTATTTAATTTTATGAAATTTTGAGAATAATCAAATTTGTCTCGCTTAATGTTTTTAAAAGCAGAACTCCTTCGGGATTTTAAATCCTCAATTTCTTTTTGTAACACCACTTATCGAAACTGCTCTGAATCGTAAAATAAAAGGATGCAATAAAACTAAGATCTTATTTAATTAGAAAAGCTTTTAATTGCTCTTAGGAATAAGATATATTATGGACACTATTGTCTTAAGGAAAAATTACGTTACGGAAGACACGTAAATAGTTAAGAACAACTACAGACAAGGGTTAGTTTCAAGTACGACATCAGTTTTCAATTGGTTATTGTTTTAAAAAAAGTATGTTTCCTCCCGTCTCAAATATCGATGACTATGTGAGAAAATTAACCAAGTAAACAAAGGATTATTTTCTAATTTTTAAAGCCTCTATTTGTGTGAAAAATAACGTTCCGTCAGAAAAATGAACTAAAAATAATATTTTAAAAAAATTCAAGAATCAACAAAACAAACTCATTGAATTCAGAGTTCATTTCATTTAGGGCTAATATAAGAAACAAAGATACAAAAGATTATCTTATTGAGGTGCTTATATTAATGTTGCTCCGCTCCTATTAAATTTAAAGGACATATATTATAAAGACAAAATTAAATGAAATATTTCGAAAATGAATCACTCTCGTGATATGACGTTTTACATTTCAATCTACGGCACTTAGAGTTCCAGAACGGTCCAAAATAAATACTGAAGCCAATAATTTTAAAATAGGTAAAACGAAAATAACGTAATATTTTAAATATGAGTACTGAAAAGTTCTAAGAGAGAAGAGAAAAGAGAGAGAAGAGAAAAGAGAGAGAAAAGAAAAGAGAGAGAAAAGAAAAGAGAGAGAAAAAGGAAAAGAGAGAGAAAAAGGAAAAGAGAGAGAAAAAGGAAAAAAAGAAAGAGAAAGAGGAAAAAAAAAAGAAAGAGAGAAGAAAAAGAAAAAAAGAAAAGAAAGAGAAAAGGAAAAGAAAAGAAGAGAAAAGGAAAGAAAAGAAGAGAAAGAAAAAAGAAAGAGAGAAAGGAAAAGAAAGAGAGAGAAAGGCAAAGAAAGAGAGAGAGAAAGAAAAAGACAGAGAAAGAAAAAGAAATACAGAGAGAAAGAAGAAAGAGAGAGAGAAGAAGAAGAAAGATAGAAGGAGAGAGAAAAGAGAACGGGAGTGAGAGAGAAAGAGAAAAGAGAGAGCGAGAGAGAAAAGAACGAGAGAGAGAAAAGAGAGAGAGAGAGATTCTTATATAAATTTGTTAAAATAAAATCTTGGAAACAGACTCTTGGAAAGAACTTTCCAGGACATTCTTGTCTATGTGTTTTATATACAAACCAGAAAAAACTAAAGACACTACTCTGATATTCTACTTAGATATTTCTATATTATATTCCGTCTAAGGGATTTTTTCGGTATCGTATTTCCTTTTATGTGTTACAGTGCACTTTATGTCCTTTCAAGTGCTTCGTTATAGTTTATTATATTTTTAAAACTCCATTAAAATAGAAACAAAAAAAATAACCCCCTATCCCGAAAAGTTTCCGACTCTTTCAAAGCGGTTAGAAAAATAACAATGCAACGTTTTAGAAAAAATAGGACCAAAATAAACATCTTCTGTAACAATAATGACCTCTTTTAGCAATCAATTCTTGGGCCATAAAATATAGAACGATAAAAGAATATATTACAGTAGTATTGATTTTCTTCAAGGCGATGAGATCTCGCTGTCGACTCACCACACCTTAAAAATAAAGTTAAAAAATAAATAAAATAAATAAATCACTATATATTGTTAAAATGTGATACATTTATATAAGATTGTCCAATATTGGAGAGAGAACTTTTATAGATATAAACTGTGTACATACAGTTGGCAGTGTCTACATCTAATATCTAAATAAATAAGTCGAAGAGAAAGGACCTCACAAGAATATAATAGTTAATTACTTATCGACGTCTTTTGTTACTGTCATCAGTCAAAAAATAAATAAATAAATAAATAAAAGTAGCTTCATTGTTCAAACTATGTACCTGGTATTAAGAGTCTACTGACATGAACCTTTTTTTCATTGTTTTTTTTTTTTTTTACAGCGTATCAACCTTTTACAGGTTATTTAAAGCTAGAAAATATTTTTAGAGTGTAATATTTTTTAGAAGCAATGATTGTTACTGATAAAACTTCTGCTATTTAACACATAGCTGGGGAGAAGAAGTGGATTCATACCTTTCCCAAGAGTATTTGTGTGTAAGTGCTTATAACGAACTTGACTGGAATTGGAAATCGGAGAGTGGTGTTCCAAATCCGAGCCGTTATCTACTAAACCACCAGGCATCCAAACTTACAGCATTTTGTATTCCCAGGTGGTCACCCATCTAGGCACAGGCCAGGCTCAACGTTGTTTAACTTCCGTGATCGTACGAGTATCGATGTTTACAACAAGAAATATCACGGAAATGCTTTCACTTTCCTGGTTGTGAATACATTTATCTTACAACTTTTCTGAAGCACTTAACACATTGACTGCCAATAACTCGTCGTTGGCAGTTTTTATAATGACGCCGACTACGAGTTATCTCGTGCTTGGCATTTTCTGATAGACATTCATCTGTGGGCGCCAATAATGAGTTTCTTCACGGTGATACTTTTAGTGTGAAAACAATGTTAAGACTTCAGTTGAAGCTAAAAATCAACTCATAAAATTGTTTCATTATAAAGTTGGCGTTTGAAGCCAGATTTCGTAATTGACCTCTGGCAGCCAACATGTTAAATAAATGTCTTCACACATCTTATCGTTATAAATATACAACTAGTTATTAGTACGTTACCAGGACAGAGAATAAATTTTCCCAAGTTATCAACGAATATGATAACCATTTGATTCTTAATGAGAATAAACTGAATGTTTATTTTCTTTTTATTTCTTTTCTTTCTTGGGGTGGGGGTCATTGTATATTTATAGAAAAGAGTTTTTATCATGAAATTCAATTGAAAGCATTTTTTTTTCTGGAGAGTATATGCCACTTCAAGTATTCAAATAATTTCAAGAACGTTAACGACAGAAAAAAGGCACAGAGTACTTCAGCAATGTCGCTCTAAAGAAAGATGAAGTGGTTTAAAAACAAAAGTGGTAAAAGCATTTTCATCTGCATCTTGGCAAACAGTAAATGGTATATTTTATGTATGTATTGGCACTTCTAAATACGATCGAAGTATAGGTGAGCTATGTGAAATTAAGATAATAAACTTTACATGATCTCCGACGACTGCCACTTTCTTGTGTGACCCACAATCTTCAAGCGGTAGAGAGAAAACAGAATTGAATACCAATCAATTATTTAGGGGAGTTGGAATGAGTTTTTTATTATATATATATATATATATATATATATATATATATATGTGTGTGTTAAATTAAAAAAAGACTGCTCAATAGTGAAGATGTCCTGTTTATAGATATATTGTGGACATAGATATAAACCATTACTTGGCGAATATCAGTTTCACCCTTCAATGCTATGTTCAGGCCAAATCTAAAAGATCAGGTTAAAGCGTAAAACTGACAGTAACCATGCAATATTTATTCCTATGTCCTCTCCTTTTTATATATATATATTAAACCACTTGGTCATATATATATATATATATATATATATAGATAGATAGATAGATAGATAGATAGATAGAAACAAACTGTGATAAAAATGAACAGACTGAGATAGGTATGTATATATATATATATATATATAAAAAGACATTTTTATGTTTATACATTCTTTTTATAGATACAAATATTTAAGTAAATGCTCTGTTTTTATAAGAAACAGTATTAATAACATTTACCGACCTGAATGTCCGAGAAATTTTCATAGAAAATATTCGTTCTCCGACAGGAATCGAACCTGTATCCTATACGGAACCGTCATTTAACCTGACGTGCCTTAACCGATCGAGCCACGGAGAATCGTTCGATCAGCAAGGTCGAGTTTTTAAATTTAAACCTTCCATGAAACCATTTGGATCAAGAGCTAAGAAGAGAAAGAGAGAGAATATGATTGCCTTTTTATAGACTTATAGACTTCAAGAGCTCCATTTAACGCGGTTTTGGCAAAGCCATTGGGGCAACCCACAAGTACTATTTCAACTGAAGAATCGTGGTTACGTTGATTAATTTCATTATATTTTGTATAACTTCCCTTCATATACTTATTTTCGCAACGCCAATATACAAACATTTCATCCAGCCTACTGAGCCTGTCATAAACACATAGACACCCATCATGGATAAATCTCTATTTGTCTATTGTTAAAAATGCTAGCCATTGGAAGTGAAAGAGCGCGCCAACTTTTTCAAAAAAATCTGTTGTTGAAATAACCCTTTTCCTGTTATGACGATCAAAACGACCAATCCTAAAGACATTAACATCAAATGTTTCCGGAAAATAGAAAAATGGCGGCGACAATGTCATCGTCAGTATTCACGTTAACTATCCTTATTTAACTAAATTGTTTATGTTCTACTGCCATTGTTTTGTACTGATGACCATTTCCTGTTAGTTCCATTTTTAACTTTTTTTAGTCATTAAAACAACCTTAGAATGGATTAAAAACCAAAACAAATAAACAAACAATAACAGAAGTGAACAAGCAATGTTAAACCTGTTCTGGTTGGTAAATACATTATTTCATTTATGACACTAAGTCTATTATGACTACAGACCAATCACAAGAGATGTGTGAGTGTAAGTCATAAAGATAAGTAAAATATTGATACTTTTATTCAAGAAAAAATGCAATGTCGATAATGACCTTTGGCATTATTTCACTCCAAGCAAGACAATAAAGTTATTTAGACGCAAATGTTTACTGAGTTTTAGAGAATATAAGAAAAAGAAAACATTATTAAGGAGAGAGGACAATATATGAAGAGGAATTAAGAAAACGAAAGATAACGATTGATATTGCATTTAAATTTTTGAAGATCAAAGTTGACTAAAAAACAAGAATCTGGAAGCGAGTTCCACAAACGAGAAGTGTGAGAGAAGAAACTGTTAGTATAGAACTTACGGTTACCTCTAGCCGTTTCAACTGTAAAATGACGAGACCTTGCTGTCAATCTAGTACTGTGATTAAATTCATAAAGTCTAAATATCATAGAAAAAAGTTCCAACAGAACAATTACCATGAAAATACCAAAGTATGAAAAATTATTTGAGTACACTAAAGATAATGAATACTCGACGTGGAATACGCATTTTTTTTTTTAAGCGTTTCACCCCAAGCAAGGTGGGAAGCCACTAGCACGCAAGGGTTTACAGACAGTTGGAGCTAGAGCAAAGAGGGGTGATAGAAGAAACGATGAAGAGAAGGATAGGGGATAGATCAAGGCATCTGGAGAAATCGATTGACATTACATTTAAATAGTTGGAGATTATAGCTATCAGGGAAACAGGAAAAGGGGAGGGAGTTCCACAGGCGAGAAGTGCGAGACATGAAGCTATTGGAGTAGAAGAGACGGCTACATTTAACAGTTTCAATAAAGAAAGGGTGAGAGCGAGATGCCTGCCTAGTAGAACGCTTAAATTAATGAAGTCTGGGAACCAACGAAAGTAGCTCATCGGAGCAGTTACCATGAAAGTATTTGTAAAAAAGACAGAGGGAGGCGACGGCATGTCTGTGATAGAGCGACTGCAGACAAGATTTATAATTATATATTTATTTACTTATCCTAATTTTAAACTGCACTGGAGACCTATGGGGCACAGTATCATTTGGAATATAGATTCAGTTCACTTAAATATTTTAGTTTCTCTCAAAACGGTCGTTTCTAGAAAGGAATAATACTGTATCTCACTTTCAAATTTTATTATGGGCTTGGTTCGACCTCAATGATTCCTTGAAGGAAGAAGAAGAAACACATTGAGTCAGTCAGGATTTTTTGAAAACTGATCGGGGAGTGTTTCAAAGTTAATAAATACTTGGCTTTTGACCCAGAAAAATATGAGTGTAGAGAGCGAGAAAGTATTTGCGTGCGCATGCGTATACTTTTGCAATTCCCAAATCTTATTTGGAAAGGAACAGCCAACGTCTGAATGGTACAATACAACGAAAGAAAATATATCAAGTTTTCCTACCTTTTCAAGACCTTTCAGCATCGTAAAAGAAACGTTAGTTAATGATCTAATAATATCAGAGTACATGAAAAACATTAATTTAGACTATTATCAAGGCTTTGCTGTAACGATTATTTTGGTCTGAACCCTTGTAAATTCTTTATTTTGTTACTCACACTGCTCAAGAAAACTTGGATCCAGGTTAAATTATTATAGTTTTATAACCTGACTGATTAATTACCAACGTTTAAATACAGTTTTACGATCTTCAGCCATGTGATAAATAGAAGGGTGGCCTGAGCCTTCTAACCTTGAGTGGCAGCCTTCCTAGAAGAAAAGTGATTTGTGAAGGCGAAAACAGGAAACCACGCCATATCTATATATATTGAAAGAGGTCACAGAAAGGTAACCTGTGGAGAGCCATGATTGCCTACATCCTGAAGAGATATAGCATTTTTTAAAATAAATTATGAAATCCAGTCAAAGAGCATTTTCTTAAAACTACCATACGACGAATTTGAAATGAAATAGTAATTCCTACAATAGGGTGTTAAAATGTCTTCATCCCAACCAAGAAGCGTCCCATCCACCCTCACTCAAATTTTCATATATGTTTTGTCAGATTTTGGGAAGTAGGTCGATCTGAAAGCCTTTCAGCATCCGCCTATTACAATTTATATTAGGTTCATCGCCGACAAGAAAGAGCTTAAAAATTCTCGGTCGGACTAAGAAACCCTTTAAAAGATACATTATTTACATTATTCGGACTATTGTCTTCATCTTTGTCGCCATATTTATTACAACGTTTCGGCCGTTGTACGCTCCTGCCTTCTTCAGGTGGTTGGAATGTTGAACTGAACCCTTTATTTCGCTCACTGGGGTAAACTGTTCTAGTGCTACGTGCCATGTTTTAATGGATGTCAGTTATCAATTATCTTCTGTTAATTGCCCTCTCCAAGTTCTCCACTGCCTTAACCGGGTATTGAACCCACACTCTTTAGGTCCTGTCACTGGATCTAACCAACGCCTTTATCCACTGTGTCATATGTCCATGATAAAAGATAATTAAAATAAACAAAAAAAAATTAATGATCGGTTAGATTTTGTTAAGTGGGCCAAGCCATTAATTTTCAAGCACTCCTTGATGGTTTAGCATTACGAATGTGTCATGAGTTCAGTCCTCACTGAGTGTCCCACATTTACGGTCTTGTATAAGTTTAATCTAAGCTTAGTAAGAAATGCGCCTATTGTAGCGCAGTAATTAATGAATTTGTCTTCTACATGGTTAGTATGAATATAGCAGTAAAGCGGCAGAAGTTTAAAATTT